TAGCCCATATGAAAAAGCAAGGGACGATAAAATTCACTGTATTATAGCGCAAGCATTATAAACAACCTATAAAGGCTTTCCTACTCTCATCAATGTTACACAAACTGGTCTATCAGAATACGTGAGTGGCTGTAGATAGCCCATGATTTAAATCACAATGTTATAAATCATTGATATTTATTTGAGTGCTGCAAAGCGACAACCTGTAATTGAGAGTTTTACAAATTAATTTTACAGATCAAACCCCGAAAAGCACGATATAATTTATGTTGTGCTTAATTTAAATTTATCATGAGTCGGATCAGAAAGCGGAGCCGGCAAAAACCGAAATTACAAGTTTTCTCTTTGTAGCACTCATTTAAATCAATTTAAAGCTGATATAAATCTTTTATTACGTAATGTGTTTAGAAGATAAATATATTTTTCAAATCGCAATGGCAATGGTTTTTTAAAAAAATTGCATCCAAAGATCGGTGTTTTAATACAGTATATACGTAATAAAAATCAAATTCTTTAAATCATTTGTAAATCATTTGTAAATCATTTTTAAATACTGTAATTAATATCGATTTAAATCATGATTTTTTACCATCGCCAAGTGGCATTACCGGATTCGCCTTTGCGGCAGATTTAAAAACCGGTTGATAGCGATAGTAATATTAATATTAATACAGTAGTACTGGTAAGTACAATTTTAGTATAGCATTACTGTAGTAAAATCGTGTAGATCTGAGAATTTTTATATTACGATATAATCCGATACCAATTAAATATAACTTACCTTTTTTTTTTTACCTTTAATAATCGACATTTCTTTGTTTTTTTAACACCTGTAGGACTTCTTTATTTTTATAGAGCTGAAACTTATTTAAAAATCTCCTAGAACGAGATGATAATTACATTAATTATTGATTTTAAATGAAACTGAAATCATATTTTAATGTAAGGAAAGTTATAAACACGTAACTTACATGTAAGCAGGTAAGTTAAATAATATATAATATAATTTAAATAGGATCTTAGCTAGGAAAATGTCTCTTTAGAACTATATATATTTCATAAATAAAAGCTGAATTTGCCAATCTTTCAACAATCTAGTATAAATAAGAGTATTTTTTTTTATTTAGTGGCTTCGCAATCGCATAGTCCTAAAGGTCATATTTTTATTATATCATATATACTATATATATATATTATATTAATATATTAGTATATATATTATATTAATATATTAGTATATATATGTGATTATAATAACTTACCTTGCAACACAAATTTTGGATGTAACTTACATGTTAGGTAAGTATGTAAGTTACAGCCTTACAACCCTAATCACAATAGCCTTTTTTCGAAAAATAAAGAAACTGTAATAATTAATAATGAAAAAATACAGCAATAAAATTATTTTTAAGTTACTGATATTCCACACCAACTTCTTTTTTATCAATAAGAATTTATAGAAATTTGAGTTGTCAAATAATCAAAAATAATAAATTAACTAGATTTGTCAAAGACAGCAGTTAATAAAAAAATTATTTGTCCATTATTCGTAATCACTTAAGCTATTGATTTGTTTATTTATATGCGTAATTATATAAATTCAAATGCATGTAATTAATTTTTTCGTATTCAAGGTTTTTTTTATCGTAATAAAGAGTTATATAATATTTTATATTAGTCTTGACCGGTTGGTAAAAGCAATGTTTATATCAATTTTACTAAAATGTATGGTTTACATTTTATGACTAGTAATTTTGCTTAAGTCATAATGAACAAGCTACTTAATTGCCTGAGCTTTTTGCCAGGAGAAGTCTGTGGATACCAACTAGCCTACGTGACTTGTACGCACCAACCGAAGTCAACCAAATATTTGTCAATAACATTCAATTAAATTTTAAGATTTTATAGAAATTTTAATTGAATTTAGTTGTGCATGTAGACTTACTTTTGTTAGTGGTGCAGGGGTATATTTAATATCATTATATATTTTCAATTAAAAAATCCAATTTTTGAATATATATATATACGTAATTTATACAATTATTTTATTATTACTGGGGTTATGTGAAAAGAAATTGGTGTCACATAAGAGAAAATTCATTATTGGAGTTTCAAATCTATCGATTAGGAGGTTGTGTTTGGTAAACAATAAATATTTTATTATACAATGAAGTTTAAATGTAAATATGTTACACGGGTATGCATATAAACTTGTGGTGTGTAAGTCATGTGAAAGGTGAATTTTTATGGGACAAATTGCCGAAACCTACGTATGGTGATTAACGAAACGAGTTATAGGCATTCAAGTCATGAAAATTAATTATTTAATAATTGTAAATATATTAAAATTGTGAATGCATAATATGCAGATTAAATGAATTTTTTTTTTGATTAACTTAAAGTCGATATAAAAAGATAATATTAATTTATCTGTTAGAAATGTAATATATTTATTGTCGTGATGCTGAAATATATGTCTTGATTTGAAAATCTAGACCTACTAAAATCCACATATACTATTTAACTATCAATTCTAATCCTATATCCTAAAAAATAAGAGCTGAAAAAACACCCCGAAATTTTTAAAATTTCATATTAAAATAGGTCCAAATTTCAACATCAGCAGCGACAATTAATAATTGACAAAATTTATGATTCATACAGAATTAATAATCATTAAATTTTTCATTTAAAGCCGATGAAATTAATAAAATACTTTTGAAAAAATTTAATGTATCCGGAGATCATTATGTAGAAGCATATTGAAAGAGTGTCAACTGTATCTTGTTTATATTACTGGCTAGATCGTAAAGCGTTTCGCCTATCATCAGTGTTTCGTCATGAGCTAATTTCATCACGCATACATGTATGCATGTTACTCTTCTAACTGGTGATAATAAATTAAGATGACCTAAATAATTAATAAACTTGAAATATATTGTTTTTGTGAATATATTGTAATTGGAAAATTATGGTTTCTTTACAAGTTAATTTAATTCTCATGATTTGAAAAAACTTGAAATAAATAAATTTGATCGTATGGTTCAAGTAATAATGATTTAATTTGTTAGTCACGAATTGATGGTTATTTTACACAAAATAAAACAAAGATCGGGATCAGCATAACATACTATTGTTTTTGTGTCAGGGTTTGAATTAGGCTTACGACTATAACGAAAACTTTTAGAAATATATCAATATATATATATTTATATTTATAGAATGTTTTGTTTTGTTTTGTTTTCTAATTAATTTTACAGGATAAAAAAGTTTGCATACAAAGCAACAAAATGTAAATATAAATATAAATATAAATATTTCTGTAGTTAAAAAATTGGCGTGTTACAGCATTATCGAAATTAATTTCACAAATTTTCACTGATATAGCGATTAAATTAATTCTACCGATCTGCCTTTATTCATAGCGCCTTTAATTACGACTGCGCACAATTACAAATTTTTTTTTATTGTTATAATGGCGGTTAATTGAACAAATTGGATCAAAATATTTATTTTAAATGTTATAAGTGTAATAAAATCTAAAATAAACACCAAAGATATTAATTCCTACCAATAACAAATCATGTAATACTGTAAGTCACCTTTGGGTTTATCACTTATCAAAAAGTGAAACAACTTATAACTGTAGAAACATCTTCTGATTCGTATATCTGTATATAGTGTATTATGCTGCTATACTGCTATACTGTAAGGAAAAAAAAAGTATTCGTGATTTCTAATTTTAATTTATTATTGGTATGCTTTGTAAAAAATATTGTCAATCACATTACTTAAGCGTTATGTAAGTAAAGCATAACTAATAATGTTTTTTATAAAGCATAATAAATATTCCTGAATTTGAAATCTTCTCCTATCGTACGCACACATTAAGACGTTGCTCAAATTATTTGATATCCCAAACTATATACAGAAGATGTAATGAATAGTATCATATGGTTTTGACGACATTCCAAATAGTTTGTGCAACACCTCTGTTTCTACAGTACTGTACATAATTACGTATATAGAAATTTGAATTCCACGAGATCAAAATTTTGAATAGTGTGTAACATCATTGTGTTGTAAACCAATTTGCTGTTTCATGTAACTCAACCCTTAACCTTATGATGATAGAGCTATTTTATATGTAACATGTCATTCTTTGTTAGAAGCTCAATAAATAGAGTTTAGATGCCTTCGTTGTAAAATATACTAATGTATCGAAGGCAAAATTAAAAGTGTAACATATAATGTTTCATTGTGATTTTTCTAATATTAAAAATATTAGTATGTTTCATATTAAAGTTACAAATTTATATTTTCATTTTTTACCTCCATTTTATTTCGTGAAAAAATAAAATCTTATTACAGTCTTAAAACCTTGTTGGTGATAGTTGGCGCGCCAAATGATGCTTGCAGTAGGGTATAACTGTTTATATTTAAATGCATAATAAACAAATGCAAAGTGGCGGGAATCTTTTTTTATTTTAGTATTTATTAAAAAAAAAAAAAAAATTTATTTATTTATTTATTTTTTTTTTGTGTTTCTGTATTTAATATTTAAAAGCATTAAAATGAATTCAAAAGATAAATATAAATTTTATCCGAAAACAAATTATTACATAAATGGAAATACCCCTTAGTCACGGTATCACGGTGAAATGCGAGATTTAACGTTAATTGCGATAATGTTGGATAATGTTGGATTTATTTATGCAATCAGGTCCAGATTTTATACAGATTTAATTCAAATTAATAAATTACAATGAACATAATGGACAAAAAAAAAAAGATCCATGTGCACAATAATTCTGTAATTTGTTGAATTTTGTTTTGTTTATTCTTGTGTAGTATATTCGGAAAATTTCAATGTCCGAAGAAAAAATTAAGAAATCTACTGGTGGTGTTTTAGCTTAAAACCACGCATTTTTCCTTTTTTTTTTTTTGGCATAAAAAAAAAAAAACGATGGTGAGAGAGAGCATCCGATATATCATTTAGCATGGGACAATTAAGTAGTAAATTTAAATTTTCAAGATCACGCGCGAGTCGTCGGCAAAAAAAAACTTCAGCTACCACTACACAAAGCACTTCAGATGAAGAAGGCTTTCGTATTGTTGGTGGTAGAAAATTTCATGATTTAAACAAGGATGTTAAATATCCCTACCCTATTGATGATGAAGAAACTGACCGACTACATTTACAACATTTTTGGACGAGATATATTTGGCAGAGCAATTTTTCCGCACCTATCGAACCTCTTTTAACACAACACGAACCTACTATCCTTGATATTGGGTATGTATACTAATAACTATCTATAAAAATTTAGCGATAGTAAAGTAAATTTCAAAGTTACTATAACGATGAATGACTTGTAATTATTTATTATAATGCATATATAAATTATATGAATAAGCTTCTACACCTGTAAAGTTGATTGTAATTGTCTCTAATCTGCAAAGATTGCTTTTTAAAAATAACATGATCGAGATAAACGTATGCTAATTGCATTAAATGTTCAAAAAATCTAATAACTTTTCTTAAATATTTTCAGATGTGGTGCAGCATCATGGTCATTTGAAATGTGTTCAAAGTACGTATTATGGTATTTTTTTATATATATGTATATTTATCGTCATACTTATCTTTAAACATGTTATTATTAGTTATCCCAATGCTAATATTGTTGGTCTGGATATAACAGTACAACAAGCTACACAAATTAAACCCTCAAATTTTACTTTCGTTAAAGCAAATGTTTTGGATGGTTTACCATTTGATGATAACACGTTTGATTATGTATTTCAACGATATATGTTTGGCGGATATCCCCAAGAAAAATGGCCATTTGTTATTAGTGAGATTGTAAGAATTTTAAAACCAGGTGGATACGTTGAGGTATGTTTATTCAAAATTGCTCAATATAATTTCTTTGTTATTACATAATTATTAATTTTATTTTTTGTATAAAAAAAGTTGTTAGAACCTTCCATGATGCATGATATAGGTCCCGCTACTCAGCGTATTGTCGATGGTCGTATGTACCTTAAGCATTATTCACTATATTATTAATTTATTTATATATAGTAACATACTAATATTTTACATTTTTAACTAATTTATTATAAAGAAATTGTTGCAATGGGTCACCGACAAACTGATCCATATACAAGCAATAAATTAAAGGATTACCTGGAAAAGCAAGGTTTTATATTTATATCAATTTATGTATCAATCAAATTATTAACTAAATTATTGACAATAACATGCTTTATTAATCAGGGAGTATAGAAAACATTATTGAAGAAGTAAGAGCCTGTTATCATGGTAAAAGAGCTGATTCCCCTGGAATTAGCAAAGCGGTAATTATATTAAATTTTTATATTAAATTTTTATATTAAATTTTTATATTAAATTTTTATATTAAATTTTTATATTAAATTTGATTTTTAAAATGAAATTTACTTATTTTCTTTTAAATTATCAGGCTGTTAGCAATACAGTTTCTATATTTGTTTGTTGGAAACCCCTTCTAGCAGGCTTTATGAATGTCACTGATGAAGAATACGATTTACTGACTAATGAAGCAAGAAATGAACTGGCTGAATTTGACAGCTACTTTAATCAAGTTTGTGTTTATGGGAGAAAAATTAGTTAAAAATTATCATATCTTCAAATTTTCATAATATTGTATAGAGATTTCAAAATTATTATTTAAGCCTTTTTACGAAAAAAAAGAAAAACAAAAAAAATTATTTATTTATTTATTTATTTAAAATTTTTTAATTTTTAAATATTCTGAAAATTTAACTTTCTAATGCTATAAGTCAACCATAATTATGATAATAGCATACAAAATCTATTTAAAAATAAACAAATAAGGTTTTTAAAATCTAATTTCTCCACATATAAAAAATACCTTTGCCAAAAATTCTGCATTAATTTTGTTTAATTTTATTTACTTGTTTTTATTTGTTATACGTTGATTAATACTGTATTTAAATATATGTAAAACTAATAATGCGTAATGGCTTATAAAATATTTATAATTGTTTACAAATTTCTTCATATTAAATAACATTAATAAAATGGTTCTAATTTCTTATTGCAAGCATAAAAAGTTTGCGCCACTTATATGTTTTATATATGTAAAAATTAGAGCTCAATGGATAGAATTTTGTCTGATTAAGTTTAATTACGTTATTTATGAATAAGCGTTAAATGTTTTTTTCATGTGCTTAGAATTTTAAAATTTTTTTTTTAAATAATTAAAGAATTCGAAATCAATAAATAACATTCTAGATTCGGAATTTGTGCAACAGATTTTATCTATCAAAAAAGATCTTGTATAAACGTTCTTTTTGACGAATTATTGGCACAAAAAGACGTCTTTTGGAAAGAGTAATTACATATTAATATAAACATTAATTTATCCAATAAAGCGGCTTATTGATTAGTTACTGATTAAATTATTACTTTAAATCTATTTAGTAAGCAAAAGAACCAAATTCTTTAATCAAATTCTCTTCTAAACTCGAGAATTTATTAACCAAATATCAATATCAATATGAAGTTAAACAAATTTGTGCATAAATAAGTAAAAATAAGCTTAATTATGACTAAACAAAATTTAGAATGTCAATGGTATTAGTGTGACAAAAATCGATCTTAAACAGTATTGTCCTTCTATTCAGTATTAATTGAAATTCACAAAATTCTATTAAGTACATATTCTCTGATGTTTTCCTTTTATAATGTACATACGTACGTAAATCAAGTACACAAAACTAATCCTAATTAGATTGTCAATGATTTTAATAGACTTGTCTTGATTTATTTGTTATTAATTGAAATAAGTTGTTACACCAAGTATTTTCTTCTAACCTTGCAGATTCAAATAAACTTATTTTGAGTTCATTTAAACTTAAGGCTTTTGAAACTATAATTTCGTTTTACGTTCCTTTATGATGCTTAGGTGCAGCGGGGGAAGGGGGGGGTCAAGTTAAACAAATACTATATTTTAGTATTACATTACATAAAACGAAATATACGTTCTGATTGGCTTGTTTAACTTTAGGGGAGCCCTTGGAGGGGGCATTAAATTAAATTGTTATTTCAAACCGACTAAGCTGGGTTCAAATAACGTCTTAATATTAATATTAACATAGAGGTCATCTTATTGATTTTAATTTGTAAATGGTTTACTATTATTTAATAAATACTTCACAATTTAATTAATTCAATTAATTCATTCATTCGTTAAATACAAAGCACATACTCACATATTATGATGTACGTAGAAATAGAATTACACTAAATTTAGAATCAATATAAAATTAAAATAAATGATTCGAGATCTAGATAATTTTTAAAACTATAAATGATTGAGGGCGTTTGTTTTATTATCTATTTAAGTTGTTATCAAATATTTAAGTTATACTAGCCGCTTATCTCATTTATTGAGGTTTGCATAATTCTGTTTCCCCCCAAAAAATTATAATCAAAAAAAAAAGCAATCAATTTCCAATTTCAGATTTACGATTTCCTGATTTTTTTTTTATACATATACGTTTTTGAACTTTAGATTAGACTTTGATAGTACATAAGATTGAAAGACGTAATACGAAACTTAATTTTAAATTATGTAATCTTAAGTACTATCAAAATATAATCTAAAGTTCAAGAAATCAGGAATTGGAAATCGATCTTTTTTTTTTTTGATAATAATTTTTTGGGGGGAAACAAAATTTTAATAATAATTTTTTGAGGGAAACAGAATTTTTGCAAACCATAATTATTAAAATTAAAAAGTTTATTACTGCACTGGATTAAACTTTTTTATGCTTTTATTGATTAATTATTTAGTCACTTTTGAAATATAATAACATACAATTGTAGCATATCATCAGGTTAAATCATCAATCTATTCATTTATTGAATTCATTATTACTACTACTATAACGGTTACAAATTATAGCCAGATTTAAGCGTAACAGATATCAAAACTATAACTTTAAAAGACGGCGGTACACGACGCACAAATATCAAGTGATAGATAAGATGCATTATACTGTGCAGTATCTGTATATATTAAATATCGGTATGCATAGTGCGACTTAATACCGCCAACCAAACATAGAGGTTTTCAAGAAAATTCTGAATATCAAGTTTTCTCTTTATTATATATTTTTATTTATTTATATACTTATATATATTTGTCATCAATTGATAGTAAATAGAAGATTGCTTGTTACAATAAATAGTAGAATAAAAATGCTTTATCTACACTGGCAATCATAAGTAGTGCAACAAAAAAAAAATTTCACTTACATCATACTACCTCCCGCAATTCCGGGCAT